CCTACTTTTCTACTGTTGTCTTGTCGCATCCGCCTTTGTTAATCATTTTTATCGTACCCTGAGCTCGGCGTTGAGGTCTTCTGAATTGTGTCCACCTCTTCGTTTCTGCAGTTCTTCTGTTCAAAAAAAAAACGCCCCAGAGACTTGGACTCTGCGCAGGCAGGACGGGCCTGCAGTCCAGCGTGCTTTGAACAGAAGATGCCTGAGGTGTCTGGTAGAAAAAAGTGCAGAAGGGAGTCTGGTGTTCCGAAGTTCGTTACGACCGAAAATTGGAAACGCTGCCGTTTTGTTAGGGAATTGAACATGAGATGGCCCAGACTTCATGCGATTATGCGGTGACCGTTGGATTGGATCTTTCGGAACGTCAAGCAAACATCAAGGATGACCGCTTGTGTAATTATCAGCTTCTCCACAAAATGAAAGAAATACTTCTTATCTTCCGAGCGACGAGAGTTCACTAGAGTGCTTTGGTACGGAACAGAGACTGTTGATGTTGGTGGCGCCCGATTGAGAACTTTTTAGCAGTGGTGCAACAGGTAGTGAAGGTGATTCTGCTGTTCTGATTCAGTATTTACTATGTCTGTTTAAAATATATTCTCCCTTTCTCAATCCCAAGTGGTTACGTCGTGTACAGTGAGTAAGAGAATGCGGGGAGTGGAGTAAAGTGAAGCCCTGGCAATCACTTTAGAGGGGTGCTCTTTAAGACATTGTTTTTTCCTATCGCTTTGTATCTGAACATTACTGCGGCGGAGTTTCGTTTTTACCCACTCATTTCCCTTTTCACTGTGTAACGCATTTCCGTTAATTGCATTGGGCGCTATCGCAAGGTACGGGGGCATCTCCCTGGACTAAGTCTAGGAGTTGCAGGAACTTGGGAGAAAATGAAAATTGCTCACGCATCTGGAGTCTCTCCTTCCGGCCGGAAGCTTAGTCCCGATTTTAACAGAAAGAAAGTGCTTTGCGTGGTATGTGCCATCACAATGCCCCGTGTCTTGCGATAGCGCCCGCATTTGCGAATTGTATTCAAAGCACGAATGTCGTTAAGTAGCCTCGAATTTGGGTATTTTAGGTTACTTGGGCGAAACGGGTAGAGGACTGAACATGCTTTACAAATGTGAACATGTTGGAGAACGTCATTCTTGTCAACTCACGTTTTCGGTGTTCTCGTCCTCTTACTTAATTTTTTCATATTCAAAACTCCATTCCTTAAACTTACCATTTTTCTTAAAACCTTTGAAGCCTTCCAAACTGTTGCGCACATTGGAAAAGGAGTATTTTCCTGCTTTTCCGCCATTATAAGTACAGGTCAGTACTGCTTAGCGAAGAGCATGAGAGTTTGTGCCAAAAGGTCGTCCCGTTTCAGACACCAAACAAACCTTTTTATTATTCTCGAAGGTTTCCCTGTTGGCATTTCTGTAATAGGTCCCAGAAATATCCGGATTTTCGGAAAATCCGAGAAGGTGAAACAAAGATTCTGGGTGTTACTCTGCTTGCTGGGTGTAACACTGGGAAAGAACAGGAATTAATGTGCCAGTTTTCAAAAAATAGCGATGTTTTGGAGTCAGGCCACAGAGGCTGTTGAATCTGAGGGGTTCATGTTTGGAAAATTGTGTTGTTTTCCAGTTTTTTCATAGATAGGGTCGATAAGTTATAATTAACCGTAATTTCAATTTACAAGATGGTGTTATTTTCTTTGCCATCAATTCATATGAAACTCTAAACAGCTTCATGTACCAGTAAAATAATGCTCAAGCTAATTTATAAACACAATCTTGATCGATTATGGTTATTATTTAGCTTCAGAGTATTACTTAGGAGGAGGTTTGTAAGATTTATTTCCCAAATTTTCCATAGAAAAGATGAAAAGAGTGCTAGACAATATGGATTTCCTTTCCGCCTTCCCCATTGTTGTTTGAAAAAATAAGTTTCTGGAAGGAAAAGCTTAATTTTTATACATTCCTTTCTTCTTCCATTCAGCCCTCGTTGAGCTTTATACGTCGTCTTTCCACGGCAGTACCCTTTTATTCCTCATTCCTTTTACGGCTTCTGTCGAGATCGATCCAAATAACTACATTTAGATGCATGATGTTTTCGCTATTGTCCACATGTCAGTTTCATACACCAATGTATGTGTTCATGTTTTGCATTCGAAAACGAACGTTTTCGTGGTTATTTTTATGCAGAGACAGTCAAACCTTTAACTGACAGCCCGCTTCCTAATTATTCTTCTGAGTTTATTTTTTCTACCGAAAAAGTTTGTTTATTTGAAGATCAGCAAAATAGTCGAGAATACGTCACTATGTGTTATGATTCAAGCACTAATTTCAGGGTTTTAAGCTACATACCTTTTAATTTGCTTCAAATTATGTTGTTCGTTCTCCTTCTGAATCAGTTTTTATCACAAGAGCGATAGCATATTAAGCCAATACATGAACACTTTGGTGTTTCGGGTTGCCCTCTGTCAATTAGAACAGGTTCAGACAATAGTTCATTATGCGGTCGAGCGGTATCGTTTCATAGCTGACGTGCTGCCGTTGTAATTCACGTCACGTGCCGTGCACAAGTCACTTTGTAAATTGTATAAAGAACATTTACATTTGCATTGTTACACAGGCGCACCATCTTTAAGTCGATTTTTCAGATACAATCAAAGCGATCGAAGATGTCCGATCTAAGCGATGAGGTGATGAGCGACGAGGAATCGGCCGAAGTGTATCGGCAAGTTTTTGGCGAGGGCGAACCCGAGTACATGTTTGAACAGCTCATCGATGGACCCAATGTAGAGCAATTCGATAACGAGAAGGAACGCGATGAAACGAATGAGAATATGGTTGGTCTCAAATCTGATTTTTGAAGTTTACGTTGAGCTCTATCGAAATTTATGTGGTAAAAGGCAACGGCTCGCTGCACCGTTTTGTTCAGCGCATCAGAATGTCAACTTTTTTGCGTTTATTTTTCTATGTTATGATGCTATATATGCTGTTTCCATTCTGTATATATGTAGTGCTAATAACTTCGTATTAATACGTTGACGACATCGCGTGTTTTGGCATTTTGCACCGCGTGGGACAGGAGCGATTTTGCGAGCGCGCCGTCCTCACACTTACTTCCGCTTATTTTTTTTAAAATGCACAACACAACAACCTCACAGAATTATTTCGGCAAGGATGAAAGTATAAGTTAAGCTATATAATGAAGAATTGGCGCCCGCAGTAGATTATGAGTTTGGAAGAACGCATAATGACCACGAGAAGCAAAAAACATCACTTTTGCTGCGAATGAAGTTAAAAGCATTTATACCTAAGTTATTCTATCAAATACAAATATCTTGAAACTCACAGAGTTTTTTTTTATTAACTGCTTCTGCAATTTCATGTGAACGTTCACGACAGTGAAAGGAAATAACTAGGAAAGAAAAAATGAAAGTTTGTGCATTCAGAAAATTTCTTCCTAAATCAAGGCATATTTGACCACACTGGCTGCCATGTGGTTCATAGTTATGCTAAAGGTATTACCTATAGAATGAATGCGAAAAACTCGAGAAGAAGAAGCGCAAGCACTTTAAAATTGAATGACATAGTTCCGATAGATGCGGAAATTGAATGACTAGTTCGCGATAGATGCGGTGCCAAATTTATGGAAAAAAAAGACGGGAAATAACTGAACAGACACATCCGTGAGGTCTGGAAAACCTCTGCCAAATTAAAGAATATTTTCCTTTCTGTGAGCCATGTGGTTTTTAAGTATGCTAATGTATGGCCTATAGAATGAGTACAAAGACCTTAGGAATAAGTCGCGCAAGCGCAAGAAAAAGGGATGACTTGGGTGGGACGCGTTACCGCGTCACAATGTCCCACGAGGTGCGCAAAGTGGGACGCGTTACCGCGTCACGCTGTCGTCAACGTGTTAAACATATTGATTTTGTTAACTTCGGCAGGTGATTCGCGGGCAACACACGAGACAAATCATCGCGACGGATGCCAACTGTGAAGACTAACCCATCAACAATAACCTACGAAGTTCTTCCGTGGAGAAGGATAAAGGATAAAGGATAAAGCATTTGCCGTTGATCAATCCCTTTTTGGGATGCGGCACGCATTCTACTTCCATTTGTACATTCGTAGTGGCGTTTGAATGCGATGTGGCCTATACAATGACTTGCGGGGGCCAGCCGATGTACAAGTCAGTGTTTTTATCCTCCCAGACAAGTCTGGTACCAATTAACCGACCCCGGAGGGATGGAAGGCTTGGTTGGCCCGGGCGACTCGACCCAGGATTTGATCCCCGGACCGCTCGCGTGGTAAGCGTGCCACTTGCCACTACACCACTTCCGCCCCCTTTTAGTTATTAGGATTGTAGGTTACAATATTGTGCTGCATTATGTTAAATATTATTCATTGACTCGCTTCTTGAGCGAAACACTAATCTAGGAAAGTAAGTCGGTCAAAAAATCCCTTCAGTGGAACCTCTTTCTTGTGGATGCACAAGGTAAACGAAACTTTCAGACACTTGATAGCTCGAGATCATTCCCACATAAATTAAATAGATAGTTTTGCGCCTCAAAATTGCAGGCCGTACGTGAAATGAATCCAGATAGATAGTTCATGGATTTACTTTGCGTTTCATCAAATAATTTCTTCCGACCAATATGCGTTTTCTTGACGGAAAAAGGTCAAAGGCTGGTTTCCTTGTCTTGATTGCATTTTTTCGTGGTCTCAATTCCTTTGCAACCAACAGGGGTCAGTGTGGGATGCCACTCATTCCTGCGCAGTCCTCCAATCGAGCAATCAATCATGGTGGTCATCATTTTCAGGAAAAAATGATGACATTGCCGATTTGATGGCAACTGGATGGCTCACTCTTGAAGCCAGCATAAATGCTATCCAGACTAAACAACATGTTGCAACGAATTTGGAGCAGTTGTACAAAGTAGGGAATTCAGCTTTGTAAATCTCATCCTGGTTTTGCAGATTTCGTTAACCTAACTTGATTCATTCAGGTAGTCGAATCTTTGTGTGAAAATAAAATGGCGCGGACCACATATGATAAGCTACTGGATAATATCCGCAAGTGGATTGGTCGATTCAGGTACGACTATTCTTCTAATAGATGCGCGTTTCAGCTTCCTTTATGATATCTTGCTTAGAAGATTTGCTTTTCCATAGTGTGTACTTTTTGCGTATGTATGTTTATTCAGGACGAACTAAAAATGAAGCAATGGTGTAGCCTGGTGGTGGGAGTTATGAAGGCGTATAGAGAACCTGTGGAGTGATTACTGTGAACAAATGGTAACCACCTCTGAAAATTATTCTCACCTCGATGCTTTACGTTGCTATTTCAGATCCTTATTCGCAATGTGTTCTTGTATCTGGATAGAACTTTTATTCTAGAGAACATAGACGAATCGCCTATCTGGTAGGTTTGTCGTATGTTTGTCGACTTTTTACTATTTTCTAGGATTGAGTGATTAAGGGAGTCGTCCTTAGTAATTTTCCGGGAGGAAATCATCCTGCATGGCACTGTACTGAAAAAACTTGTTGGAGGAATTCTAGATAGAGTTGCAGAAGAAAGGGCTGGAGATCAGGTAATTTGATTTTTTTTACTGTCTATCTACGCTGAATTCCTACTTTTTTCTTTCAACGCGTACACTGAAAGTCAAGCATACTACTCTCTGAACTTTGCTGTGCTGTGGAAAAATGACCTGAAAACCGCATATCTTCATCACTTACATCCCTTGTTTTAGGTGGGAGTGGCTATTTTGGATAGGTGGGAGGTTGCGGGTTATAGGAAAACTCGGGATCATGGAGTTCAAAGCTTTTCTGCGATATTTCCGTTCTTGGATCATACTGTAGTAGTTCTCTTCCCAGCGATAGATTCTTTTTTTATCGCAGATCTTCGAAGATAAATTTTAAAGGCCCATTTCTACCATCTATGGTGCTCATGATTGAGCTCGCTTGCAAGGTTATTTAAAGTTTCTGTTGCAGGTGGATCGATATTTACTGCGAGCTCTTCTTCGATGTTGGCGAACGCGTGTCGATCTGTAAAGCGGTGAACTTTTTCGTGTTTACAGCTTTGTAGTTCAATCAGTCCTCCATATTGTCCTTTTGTAGTCAAATATGCTGCGTTTTTCTGGCCTCATTGCTTTGGAAATGAGCAAATCTCTTGAAACATTTTTTTGCTATACAGTGTTTGCGATACTTTCTACTAATGTGTAATATTATCCTGTTAGTGTGCCTAACGTTCGTGTTGTGTTCCTTTAGTTTCTTGTTCGGTGAAATCTGATATGCGCGTCACAAGTAATGCGCTACTATTTATGATCGTGTACGATCAAATCGAAGATATCATTCTTGATAATGGGGTGAGAAAATGAAAAAGTAACAGGATTTCGAGCCTTATATAGTTTCAATTCGCTTGCGCGAAGTCTATCACCTGTATCACCTGTCGTCCCGTTGATCATCGAATTGCTCGAGCGGGCGCCAGCAACGTCTCCATTCGTCCCTGTCGCGTGCAAGAGTTGTCCAGTGGACCCTCCTCGCTCGAGGGACACGATGTCCTTCATTCCTTTCGTTCAGAGCTTTCGTGAAGAAGTCTGACCATCGGGCCGGCGGTCGTCCAGGTGTTCGTTTGACGTCCCGAGGGATCCAGTCGGTAACCGCTCTGGTCCAACGGTCATCGCAAAATCGCATGACGTGTCCGGCCCACCTTATCTTCGATTCCTTGGCGAAAACGGCAGCGTCCCTGATCTTCGATCGTTGGCGTAGTTCGGCACTCCGGATTCCCCTCTGCACTTGCGTGTATAGGGTTACTCCTAGCATCGTCCTCTCGACAGCGCGTTGGATAACGCTGACCGCATGCTCGTCTGCCTGCGCAGAGTCCAAGTCTCTGAGGCGTAGGTTAGGGCAGGAAGGACAGCGGAATCGAAGAGGTGGGCACGGAGCCGGATGTTCTTCGTCTTCTTCACTACTCCCTCGATGTTCTTGTACGCTCCCCAAGCCGCTCGTTTCCTCCTGCTCAGCTCTGGAGCTAGATCGTTCATCATATTGATTTCCCGACCTAGGTACACGTAGCTGGAGCATTCGGTGATGTTCGTTCCGTTGAGCGTGAATGGGGCATCAGGAACCAATCCGTTTCTCATAAACATCGTCTTCGTTAGGTTCAGCTGTAGACCAACCTTACCACAGGCGCAGTCGAAATCAGCCAGCATTCGCTCCGCTTGCTCGATGTTCGGCGTTATAAGAACGATGTCGTCAGCAAAACGAAGGTGGTGTAGTTGCCGGCCGTCGACCTTCACTCCCATGTCTTCCCATTCCAGTTGACGCATGACGTTCTCGAGAGCGGCGCTGAAGAGTTTGGGCGAGATGGTGTCGCCCTGTCGGAACCCCTCTCTTGACGTCGATGATGACCTCCTTGTAGAATGGTGAGATTCTGGTCGTAAAGTTGCTGTAGAGCTCACGAAGAATCTTGATGTACTGAGTAGGGACGCCCTGGTTGCCCAAGGCTTCGATGACCGCTTCTGTCTCCACAGAGTCGAAGGCCTTCTTCAAGTCGATGAACGTGAGACAAAGCGGCATCTTGTACTCTCGTGAAACTTCAATGAGTCTTGTAACCGTGTGGATATGGTCGATCGTGCTGAACCCTCTTCGAAACCCTGCTTGCTCGCATGGCTGTCCTTCATCTAGTATTCTGCCGATCCTGTTAAGGATGACTCGAGTGAATAGCTTGTAGATTACAGACAGCAGGCAGATTGGGCGATAGTTGCCAATGTCGTCCAGGTCTCTCCTTCTTGTACAGCAGTCGT